GAATCATTTTTTTATATGTTATTATTAAATAATAATAAAGTAAATGTAAAACAAATATTTATATCAAAATATTTTAAAAATAATGTCTATCTTCTAGTTTTGTTAGTCCTAGATTATGTCTTTTTTCATATGATTTATGTTTGATGTCTGTGATCAGCTTCGTCGCACGCTTTTGAATGCTTTCGAGAGCCTTGATATCTTCCTTTAGATGTGGTGACCACAATTAGATAGCGAATTCAAGTTGTGGTCTAACATACAATTTGTAAAGGACTTTCCAAAGTATGAGATCTCTGCTTCTGAAGGATTTCTTAAGCCGACCAAGTATCCGGTTTGCTCTTGGAACAGTTGCTTCAACTTTTTGCTTGACTTTTAAATAAGAAATAAGAAATAAGAAAACCTAGGTCTTCTGAAATAAGAACACCTAGGTCTTGTTCAACTGAAGTCGTATCCAGTTCTTGTTTTATTCCCATCTGATCAGTCATTGTGTAGACATAATAAAAAATGTTTTTTTAAATTATTTTTTGTGTAGGCATGATAAATTTAAACATTTGAAACTATTTTCCCATGCCTTCCTAAAAATCTTTCAAAGCATTAATTTTAGAAAGATTTTTTTAAATTTATTTTAATTTATGAATAAGTTCAAAACCTTTTGCGACAACTAGCTTTTACACATTTTATGTGAATTATACAAGAATATAAAATATTTTTATTACTTATATAAGCATGTATTTTATTGATTAATGGAAAAGTTTTGAAGCAATTTTTAAAACTTACGATTTTTTAAAATCTTTTAAACAAACATTTTTTTTTTTGAAAAACAATTTTTTTTTTCCATTTACGATAGGAATGAATGAGTTGAAATCATTTTATAATTTTTAAATTGTTAAGTGAAGCACTTAATAATAAAGTTACAATGCTCAAATTAAAATTAAATTAAATTTTGTTGGCAGTTTATTTAATTTAAATCGCAGGCACATTTTATTTATTTTTGTTTATTTATTTTTTTCCTATTCTTGACTAAAAGAGTTGGAAACCTTTTTTTTTAACATTAATTAACATAAAATTAACATTAATTAGAGCATAAAATTATTAAAAATTACTATTTAAAAAAAAATGTTAATTTTTTAAACAAATTTTTTTTTTTGCAACTTTTTTGAAAAAATAAATATTTATACAATTTAAAAATATTAAATACAACACTTTTTAATAAATTTGATAAAAATTGTTCATTTATTAAACAATCGTTAGTAGTTTATTGTTAATTTAATTACATTTTGCGTAACTTTAATAAAGAGTTAAAAAAGATTTATTTCAAACGCGATTAAAAATGTAAAAAAAGTTTCGCTTGGAGTTTAAAGGGATCCCCTACTGCCATAACAAGTTGTGTTCATATTAAAGAAAATGTTTAAAAAAAACATTCGGGCTAAATTTTTTTGATTGAAACTAAATAATAAATGCATACAAACAAAATTAAAATTATCGTTTTAGTCGAATCTCGCCTTCTCCATTTTTTTTTATTTTGGTTCTCGGGTTCTGTATAATGTTAGCCGCAATCTGCAGACTTGATAATTTATTCCATGCGTGTTTATTTCATAACAGTTTTAGTATATGATGTCACCGTAATATCTTTTTACTCTGCTACAATCAGAAAATCAAATATTTATATAATTTATTATTAAATCACAAAAAATATTTGTGATTTATTAAAAAATTATACAAATATATATTTATATATATATATATATATATATATATATATATTTTTATATTTGTAATTTTTTTTACTTGCTTTATTATTACTTTGTTTTAAAAGCAAGCCAAATTCATGACACAATTATACATATATTGTGATTATCAGAATTCGCAGGCAGAGAAAAAATAAAGGCAGTATGATGCGGTTTCTCGTTTTATATTTAGTTCATATGGTTTAATAGAGTTGTTCGTTTTATGTTTAATTTATATTTAGTTATGGTTTAACATTTTTTCTACTGCAAGCCACTGGTAGCGGCTTTCGAGTATGCTTTACAATTTATCTCTTTTTGTACATAAATTTCCATTCTAGACACAGAATTTGTTTATTCTAAAGGTTTAATAAATTCTCTACATAATTAAGAAAAAATAAGAGTTATATTAGTTATATCAGAAAGTTAAAAAATCTTAAATAATCCTTCATAAAAAAACTTTAAATTTAGTTTTAAAATAAAACAGCGTTAACACTGTAAAACTTAACTTGTAGAAGTGTTAAGTGTTAAGTATTTAGTAATTATCAAATATTTTGAAGAAAAAATATTATTTTTATTCATTATATGGCAGAAAAAAGACAACCATAGAAGCTTTAATATCATCATCAACACGTTCATCAGAGAGAGCGAGAGCAACAAGTGTCTCCAAAAAATACCACAAGTACCGACCAAATGCCTTGATAGAAGACTCTCTGACTTTGATATTAGGGTACTTTTGTAGTAGAATTAGAAGAATCATATCATTGAAATGAGCTCTTGATGCAAGAGGAACTTCATGCCAATAGCGGGCATAGACCAGTGATACAAAAAGTGCAATGGACTCGATTCCGGCTATCTCTTTTGCAGTAAGTTTGACCTGATCTCTAATTAGAAAAATCTTGATAGAATAGATGGCTTTAGTCATCCATCTGGCATGATGCATTGCTCTGGGTGCACTAAAACTAAATGTGCCTTCACCTCCAAGAAAAATATTACATAGCTGTAGTAGCTCCTTGTAGTTATTACAGGGAAGTTTTGCATGTATTGCGTCCCTGAAAAATGATATCATATCTGCATGAAGACCAATGGGCATACCTTCAAAAAAGATGTCAGGTGCAGACTTAAAATCATCCTTGTTGATGAATGGCCACATAGTTTGAAATCGTTTAAACAGGCCTATTTCAGGTCCACTGGATGGTCCAAGAACAGCAGAGAATACATTGGTGAGCACGACCTCAAACACGTGATGGCGACAAGCAATCTATACAAGCGAGCGCTTGTGCCACTGCCCCAACAACAAACATGGCACCTTGATCAGGAAGGTCAAGTGCAGATGCCACTTCATTCGTGATGATGGATTTCTTTAACTTTATTGAAGCTGGTGTAGAATTGGTTGATGTTGATGAGATGACAAAATTATCATCAGAATCAGAAGACGAGGAGGAGCTGTCTGAATCAAGTTGAACAAGAGATGTAGATGGAACTACAGTCTGCTGTGATAGAACTTTCTCCAACCTAGCAGCTTCTAGTGAAATTCTACTTCTTTTACGGGACTCTTTGTCGGCTAATGACTGGTCAATTCCAGCTAGTAAGTGACCGGGTCCCCGGCCCCGGCTAAAAACAGAGGTTTTTGAAAATCCAGCCCCGGCTAAACAAACACAATTTGCAGAGGTTACTAGCCGGGGCTAACAAAAATAAATTCAACTATTTTCTAGTATTTATCAATTTCTTTACATTTAAATACTTGAATAGCTCAACTATGTAATTATAATGATTAAAATTACAATTAAAAAGTTACTTACATTTTAAATGTAAATGCAATTTTACAATAAATTTATCTTAGGATATTTTAAACACCCTGATTGTTAGCAATCTTTAAATATTTTTTCAAATTATTAACTTTGTTTTAAAATTTCAAATAATCAATTTATTACATGATGGCCACTGACTTTTCTAGAATATCCAGGTTGCTGGCTTGTTTGTTCTTTCATCCGGAAAGAACAAAGTAGATCAGATGGATATATGGTGTCTTTAAAAGATAGGAAAAAAAGCAATCATCTTAGAGATAGTATTAGAGTAGTAATTATATTTATAGTGTGTATCAGAGAAGATGATAATGATGCCAATGATTAAGATGATAATGATGATCATTGTCATCATCATCATCAGAATCTTCTTAATCATCATCATCAACTGTATGCTTGATGATGATGATGATGTAGGTGATGATGATGATAATGATGATGATGATGATGATGATGATGATGATGATGATGATGATGATGATGACGATGAGATGATATATATACCTTTATATAAAATATATCATGAATTCTTCTGGTCATATGCTGTGTCATTGTTATCTATGGTATAATAAAATTATGGTCTAGTAATTGCCAATCGACAAAAAGCAATCACGTATTTATTTCCTAAAAATTATTGGTCTTAGTTCAAACACCGCTTACTTAAGACCAATAGATTAATAAAATAATACATGAATAAAATTGTACATGCTATACACAATTTTAATCAGTTTTTATGTAGCGAGAACCCTGTCACGAACTTAAAATAAAAATTGTTCTTTTGGTTGCTACCTCTAAATATGTTCCAAATTAACCAAAATTTGTCCTCAACATTCCTATTACCAAATGGAATGAAGGGAACCTTGTGGAGCAGCATTCTCATAACATTTATTTTTTATCATTGTATCGTGGGCCGCTATAATAAACCATAAGCTTTTAGTTTATACAGAAGTCTTTTGTGCGGCACTTTGTTGAAGGCTTTCTCAAAATCAGTGTATATCATGTCTATTGCATAGCCATGATGTACTGCATCCATCAGAATGTTGCGAGCTTCTAGTAGATAAGACACACAGTCCTGGTTAGGTAAAAAACCGTGTTGAGCTTTTGTGAATAGACCATTGTTAAAGCAGTGCTTCACGATTTGCTCATGAATAAAGCTCTCCTTTATCTTGCATGGTACTGATATTAGTGATATTGGTCTGTAGTTTTAGCGCTTCCTCCTGCTACCGGTCTTGAAGATTGGTGTTATGTTTGACAGTTTCCATAGATTGGGTACTTTGCCTTCAGAAAGGGACTTGCGGTAGAACATTGCTAATGGTACGGAGATTGCAGCAGTGCAATTGCAAAGAATACGAAGGTGCATTCCGTCATACCCTTTACATTTTGTTTGATTAGTTTTTCAAGCTTTTGCTGCATGCATGATTGTAACTTCATTTAAATCGCACTTTGCTTGGGTTCGATCTCTGAAGTTTAGCATTTAATCTAGAGACTCAACAACAAATGCAAACTGTAAATAGGTACTAAGTAAATGTGAAATTTCTTGCATACTTATAGTTATATTTCCTGCATCATTTTCGAGAGATTTCACCATTTCATTTTCCATTCGCTTATGCTTAACTTGGTTATGAAGTTGTTTTGGGTCATAGTTGAAACATGCTGCAATCTTCCTCTCATAGTCAACTGTTGTTGCTTTCACTATCTTGCTGAGTCATTTTACATGCTGCTTTGTGCTCCTTATGAATTTCCTCATGCATCCATCTACCGGCTGCAAAGTATTTGCGTCGTAGTGCTCTCTTCTCTCTCACAGCTACTTCAACTTCAGGGGTGTTTCATGGTTCTTTTTTACTCTTGAAAGGTAACATAGTTGCAGGTATGTAGATTTCAATTGCTTTAACTTTTTTTATTAGTAATTTATAGTTGTCATTAGCTGAAAAAGAATTGAAGATACTTATCTAATTGATGGCTATTATTTGTGTTGTGATAGTATCGTAGTTTGCACTGGTCCATATATACCTCTTTTCGTTGTTGTCTGTCATTCTGTTGTTGTTTGTTACAAATGAATCAATGATAAAGCAATGTGATTCACCTGCTGGTGTGTGATCTAGTGAGTTGCCTTTATGTAGATCAATAATTCTGTCTGGTTCGTCTGTGATAAGTAAGTCAAGTGTGCTCTTGGCTCTTTTTCTCTTTTTCTTCTATAGGTATGAAACCTTAGCATGTTTAGACATTGTTGGAATAACATATCACTTTGATGCTCATTTTGCACGTGGACAACTGTTGTTGATGCTCCATCCAAGTCAAGTTCTTCATATGTTGATTGAAGTCGCCGTAGACTAACATGGATGAGCATGAGTTTGAAATGCTTTGCTTTGCAGTAATTGTCTTTATTACTTTTTCTAGCATTACTTTGTTGTTGTTCTGCGGACAATAAATGCAACCCAGGAGAATCGACTCTTTACCTAACTTTATAACTTGCCATACTTGCTTTATGTCCGATGAGTTCAATTGTGCTATATCTGTTTCAGCTACTGGTATATCATTTTTTATGTATATTACAACACCTCCTCCCCTACCTCCTCTGTATTTTTTTGTGTGTTTGGTATCCTGGTAGTCGAATGTCTGACATGTCAGTGAACCATGACTCTGCAAAGAAGAGCAAGTCTAGTTTGTCTGCTGGTTCTTCAATGTCTATTCTTGCCATCAGCTCATCTTGTTTGACACTGTTCAGCGAGAGTGGGTTATTTGCCCAAAAATTGAATTGTTTGCGATTGGCTTTATTGGTAGTGGCAGAAAATTAGAGATTAAATGTGTTGTAGTCAGGTTGGTGAGGTTTAAGCTTGAGCCATACTTGCTGTGGCCGGCGTGGCGGCAGTGGTGCAGCATTATTTTGATTGCTGTTGTTACTGGTGGCAGTGACTGATTTGATTTCGTTGAATTGATCTAAGCTGATCCACATACATTTCTTGTTGTAACTAAATTTTTCGATGTCAATGCACAGATTCAGTACGTCTGTAGATGATCCAGCAAAAGGGCTCGTCCAATTTTGCCTTTACAAGCTCTTCATTCTTTCGTTTTTTCTCGTTTAATAGTTTTTTTATTGTTTTTTTGTTCAGCTAGAGTTTGGTCATCGTGTGTGTAGACTCATGCAAATTTTTCTATATTGTGGTAGTTACCCTATATATATATGTATGTATATATATATATATATATATATATATATATATATATATATATATATATATATATATATATATATATATATATATTTCTAGTTTTAAAAACATAGTTTACTTGATACAAAAAAATAATTCAAAAAGACTGTTATTTTTAAATCTCAGTATGAAATTTAAATTTAACAGTCTTTCTCTCAGTATAAATATTTTCATACTTAACATTTTGTCACATTACATATTATTATACCATTTACTGCATGGGTAGGTATATATATATATATATATATATATATATATATATATATATATATATATATATATATATATATATATATATATATATATATATATATATATATATATATATATATATTGAATTTTACTGATTACATTATACTGAAATAGAATAAGGCTATTTCAAAATAGGCTATTTACTGAAACAAGAATAATATAGATAATAATAGTAGCTAAGTTTTTATTTGGTTTAAGATTTCAAAAAAGTTTTCAAAAATTATAAAATTGCTTCATGAAGTTTTACAATGACTAATTAGTCAGTATTATTTATAAAAATCTAATTATTTGATCCAGTCCTTTGATAGTAAAGTTTTTAATTTATTGTTATTTTTTAAATGATAACTTATTTTTGTAATTATAGTTAAGTTTTTAATTTTTTTTTTGTAAATTTTTGAAAAAGATGACGATGGATGAAAAGTATGTAGCAGATATATGGAACCTCCTAGAAAATGCTATCCAAGAAATCCAAAGAAAAAATAATAGTGGTTTAAGTTTTGAAGAGTTATACAGGTTTGAAATATTTTTGTTATATATAATCAAGCCTTCCCGGGAAGCGCATGCGGTCGCACCCCTTGTTCATCCATGCTTACAGTAATTTTTTTAGACAACTTGACCATGTTTTTATATAGTAAGCGTTTTAAGAATTAGCTTAATAAAGCTATAAGAAACTAGAGAGTAAAACAGCAATACTCGAAGAAAAGAACGAAGACTATACGAAATAGAAAATCTAAATAAAATAAGCTAAAAAAAATTGAATGTTAAAAAATAAAATTGTTGTCAAAAAAATAATATATCTAAATATTTTATTCTTTTTGTTTTCTTATTTTTAGGGCATTTGTTATCTTCCACTACCAAATTGATACAAGTTAAGGAAAAAAGTAGATAAGAATATAACAAAAATAAAAATATTTTTTGATATACAATTTTTTCGCATCTTTTTCAGTCAGATATTAAGAAAGTACTTTAAAATTTGCGCTAGAAACATGGACAAATTTTAAATTTGTTTTTTAAATATCTTTGCTAAACTTTATTGTTTTTATCAAAGCACAGGAAAGCGAGAAAACTAATTGCTATTTATTTAAAAAAAGAATTAACAAGTTTTTCATGTAAAAGAATGAAACGATGCTCTGAAATCTTGTGGGCTAATGAATTGTTAAAGTACTGAACTTTTTGAACCAAATATTTAGGAGCCTATTTAAAACTTTTTTAAATACATTTTTTTAAACAGAGCAATCGTTATGTTCATTATCTCTAGTAATTCGTGTTAACATTGGAAATTGGACAATATAAAAGAAACATTTTCAGACATGCATCAAATGCAGTAAATACATTTATTAAAGAAACTACGTTATTCTTTTATTTAGCTTATACCCTCATTACAAAATTTATTAATCAAATAATATTTTTTACAAATAAATAACAACTCATATCTTATTTTCCTATTATATAAGTATTGAGAAAAAACTACAAATATAGCAAAAATATTTTTAAAAGCAAAAAGACGTAAAAATGAATAAACGTAGTAAATGAATAAACGTTAGAAAAAAATTAACAAAATTTCTTATAGTTCTAGTGTACATAGCAAATTAGTATCTTAATTATATGGGGGTAATAAAAATTGTGAATAGATTTTCAAAACATTCAATTGTTTTTAAAACTTTACAAAATGTTTTTTGAGAAAAAAAAGTATAAACAAAAAATAAAATATTTTTAAACAACTTCAACCAACATTAATGCATTGCAAACTAAATCAATTCACTGAATCTAAATCATGAGTTTCATCAGAAGTTGAAACTATATGAGAAACAAGATTTTATGTGACAGCAACATGTTAACAACAACTTTAAAAAAAAGAATGCAAAAGTTGCATTAAAATTAAAATTTTTTTTTTTTTTTTTAATATACTCATTTTAGTTATCAATTTTTTTTAGTTTATTTAATTAAATTTGAAATTTCGTTACAATTTTGTTTCCTTTTTTTAGGATTGTTTTTTTTTTTCTTAGTAGGTTTAGCTTTTTGCAACCGCACACGCTTCCTGGGAAGGCTTGTATAATATACATTATTTCTTTGTTCTATATTTGTAAATTTTTTAAATTGCTATGTATTAAAAATTGACTTTGAATTGCAATTTCTGCTATGTTTTAATCCTTCCCAATTCTGTGCCTGGTAACCCCATAGTAGAAGACAACTATTAGATATTTTTCTCAGTACCATGATAAATTACAAATTAGTATTAAATAAGATTACTTGTAAAATATATTTTATTTTTAAAATTAAAGTTAAATTTTATTCAAGAAGATTGATTCTTCATATTAAGTATATTGACTAAATCAGACTGCTTAAAAAAACAACAACAATAATGTCAGAAATATATTACCAGTTAATGTTCCTACTTTGTCTTTATATTTAATTCAATTGGATTGTCAGAAACTTTTTAGAGAAAATGAACAAAGAAATTAACTATTTTGCTTACAAACCAAATGTTTTAAAATTGTTAACAGTACATTTTGATGTTTATGTAAAATTTATGTAAGTTTTCATAAGTTTTTAGTTAAAAACATAAAGGATAATAAGTAATATAAAACCAGTACCTCTTCAACTATTTTTAAAGTTTAATTGGTATTGTTAAGGTCTGTTTGGGAAAATTATTGGTTACAAACAACTTCAAAGTAGTTTTAAATTCAATCAATGAATTGCGTTTTATGGCTAATCCGAGTTTTATGCATATTGCAGACCTTGTTGGGTTTCTTAGCAACGAGCTGCAGCATTAAATAAGAATTTTTTTTTTTTTTTTTTTTAATTTTAATTCACCTCCTCAAGGCCGAGAAGGCCACTACAGACGAGGAGGCTACTTATTTGTGGCTATAACCCTCTCTCAACTCTATAACTCCGAAACACGAACCTTGACGAACAAAGCCGCTGCGCGGAGAAACGAGTTTTAACTTAATTGCAAAATCATAGTTGTGATGAAAATAAAAACATTTATTTTTAATAAATTATTTGTTTCTATGCTATTTTGTTTTTGTAATTGTTATTTTGTTGCGATAACTTGTCAGAATTATAAAGGTAATTAAAGTAATTGTTTTATTAAACTATATTTATTAGATAACTTTATTATGCATTGAGTTCTGCATAAAAAACTACATTCAAGCGCAAACCTTAATTTTCTAGAGGTTAAGTTGATTGTATGTATACTGAAGCAAAGCTAAGATTATAAGTTGGATATTGAATCTCTCATGGCCTTGGACCTAATTAAAAAGCTTTATTTAATAGACAACTGAATCAGTCTCCTTGGCTTATTGTGTCCTTTGATAAATGTCTATCAACATTAGGGCTGTTCATGTGAACACAGGAAAAAAAAATTTTTCTCGGATTTGAATGCATAGTTGTTTATTTTGTGCCATTTGACATAGTAATTGACTGTGTAAAAAATCTTTCCAATCAGATAATGTTTAGGGGGTGCTCAATGACCATAAAGTTTTACGAAAAACGTCAAAAACGTGGTAAAAGTTCCAAAGTTCCAAAAATTTCTAGAACCTGGTTAGTTAGATTTTTTCCACTGAAATATTGTCTGATTGTGTGCTATATAGATTAATTAAAGTGCAGCAGATTAACTGTCATCAGGGCACCAGACTAAAAAATGTCTGCTAGTGTTTAAAACAACTGTGTTTATATCATTTTGTTAAAATTTGTATTCATAATTTTAATACTATTATTTAACTCAATTTAGAATTTGTTCAAACAGAATAAAAAGGTTTACAAGTATAAATATTATTTTTATTTGGAATTTCAGTTTGACAACAAATGTATTAATATTTTGATAGTACCTAACCTTGGTAACCTATTACAGAAAACTAGCATGGTAGTCTAGTAGTGTATTGTTTGTTATTAAGTGCAGATAATAATAATTTCTAATTTGAAAATATTTATTTAATTTCTTTAGTAATAATTATTATTATATATTGCTGCAGCTGCATAAACCAACAACTGAATGATAAGTTTGTATAATATGGTATTGAGTTTTGATTTTCTCATAATTTTTCAGTTATCATTGAAATGGCAGCATCATCTCGTGTTGCTATCTCTACACGACTTCAAACCGAAATCTTTTTAATTGGACAACCAGAGCCAAATCTTCCAGATAAAGTTCTTCCCTTAACATCTGATGTTTTAAAAACATTTTTTTATCATCTTAATTCAACCAAAAAGTCAGTGCCTGAAAGTCTTAAAACAACTGTTGATGAACTGATTATTATTTGGAATAAAGCCCGTATTCCGAGAGCATTTCATCCGAATGTAGTCTTAAAGTTGAAAACTTTAGTCCAGGAATTTAAATTAATAAAAAAAAATAAATCCGGATTGTCAGATTCTCAGAAATCAAGAGAGAAATCATTTACAGACATCATTGGCCTACTTTTTGACATTGCCCACAAGGATGCTGAAACTATGATCAGAATTGAAGAAGATAAAGAATTTTTATTGGATCAGAGATGTCAGAGAAAAATGGTGATGTTTGGAGAGGACAAAGAACTTTCAAAATTAGAAGCAAGAAATGAAGCAAGGAAACAAGCAGAGAGAGAACGAAAGCTAAAAGAAGAGCAAAGACAATCTGGTGCGAGTGCAATAGTTCCTTTTATTGAACCTTTACATGACGAAAGTTATAGTGATGACAACGATAACGATGCTGTTGATAATGACAAAATGGTTGATAGAGATTTTGAGATAGAAATCCCTGTTTATTACAGACAACAAGTCAGTAAAGCAAGTTCTTCAGGGTCAGCTGAATCAAGTTTAGCAAGTACTCCAAAACGACAATGTATCTTAGATACAATTCTTGACTCGCCTGATGTTTCATCAACATTAGACAGAATTAATCTATCTGACACAAAATTTACTATACTAGCAGCAGCAATTGCAAGGGCTGGTGGACAGAACCTCGATGATGGATCATTGTCACGTTCTACAGTCCGTAGAAAACGAAATTATCATCGATCAAACATTAAAGCCACTGTTCGAACTGAATTCTGCGATTTGGACAAACCACCATTAATCGTCCACTGGGATGGCAAACTGATGATAGATCGTACAAATTCTGCAGACCCTAAAGCAAATGTTGACCGGCTATCTGTAGGTGTGACAGGTCACAATGTTGACAAAATACTTGGAATAGCAAAACTATCAGCTGGAACTGGAGAAGCCCAAGCAAAAGCAGTTATTCATCTGCTTAATTTCTGGGACATAATTGGTGATGTTATTGGAATGAGTTTTGATACTACAGCCTCTAACACTGGCTCCGAAAATGGTGCATGTGTAGTTCTAGAGAAACATATAGGTAGAAATTTGTTATATTTTGCTTGCAGACACCATGTTCATGAGATCATAGTAGCAGGAGTGTTTGGATCACTATTTGGACCATCATCTGGTCCAAACATACCTCTTTTCCAGAGATTTCAGCAATATTAGCCCAAAGTTAATCAAGGAAATTTTAAACCTCTGGATGACATTCGAAT